AGTCATCTCCCCAGTTGTACCCTGTTGTTACAAAGGGAAACCATATGGTCTTCTGGCTTCTGTGCATTGGCACTAAGCATGAGAAAGCGGTCAATGGATTCACTACTATAAATCACTTACCTGAACTAAAAGAACACTGGTTCTTTGTGTCCATCCACTGAATGCTGTCCTGTAGTTGGGAAAGGAGGACGACCAAGCAGACTAGAAAGCAAGAACCCACCACGGAGGTGGTGACTCAGTATTGGAGAGAAAGCCACCAGGGGTCCCTAGGTCACATGGTAAAATCAACGCTGCTTCCTCTCCAAAATTGATGTGACATAGGGAGCCCTGGTGGCTCAGTGGTTAAGTGTGCTACCCAGCTAGACCTAAAGGTTGGTGATTTGAACCCACCCACTGGTTCCACGCCAGAGGGATTACATATTTACAACCTAATAAACCTTGTAGGGCAGTTTTACTCTGTCACATGGGGTCACTATGAGCCAGAAATTTGACTGGATGGCACCTAATAACATTTGGTGTTATACCATTGGTGATCCCACTGGCATATAGTTTATAAACTGTTGTTGCTTTTCCCACAGGCCAAGATGACTGGAATGGGACCAGGCCGTCACTGAAGGCCCCTCCAGCTAGGCCGGTGAAGGGAGCATACAGAGAGCACCCATATGGACGTTATTAAAAACAAACATGAGGGAAAATATCAGTTATGAGCAAAGTTGTTACTGATTTCTTGTATCTCCCAGGATTCCTGTTGCTTTACCCACAACAGACAAGTAATTGTCTAAGTGTTTTTCTTCGTGGTCCCCTTCTTCTTCCCCTTATTCCATTCTTACTCTGCATTCTGGCTTCTGTATGTAGTATTTTAAAATGAGTTAAAATAGATTTAGGAATATTGAATTAATTTTTTAAGTGTGTAGATGCATTTTTCTTTGTTGTTTAAATATAAACAGAAGTGTACCTTTTATAATTAAAATAAAAGTTGAGTTAAAAAAAACAAAAAAGCCACAAACCTGTTAGTTTCAAAAATGACATTGCTTGCTTAAAGGTTCTGAAGTTAAGGCTTGTTGACTTTCTTAGTTTTGATTTGAGGCATCCCGTAAAGTTGTAGTTGCAGACTCCCAAACTAGGCTACATTTCAAAATTCAGGGCTGTTTAAGGTTTAAAATCACAAACGTTAACGGCAGTAGGTGCCACCATGTAAAAGTGAGCTCAGACGTCTCTAAAAATGTTTCCTTTAAAAGCACATGGCGGTTGAATGCTTAAGGTTAAATTTTAATATGAAAGATCCTCATGAATTAAATAGTTGATTCAATTTTTAACATTAACTGATTTAAAAACAACAAAATTAGCTTTGTAAAACTGGCTATTTCCTTATGTGGGTTTTGAAATCTAGCCCCAGACATAACAGTGTTGAGAGATACTTAGGGTGGCGAGTAGGTTTTGAAGAGATTGATTTGAGGGTGTGGGGGGGTTGGCCACTGGGATTGCATTTGATGTAGAGCTTTATAACAAGAACAGTCTTTGAGTAATAATACTAATGATTAAATTTCAGTATTTAAAAACAGAAGGCGAAGTATTGAGTCCACTTGAGATTCTACACTCCATAAAAGGCTCACCTGGGCATGGGGGGCCAAAAGCTGATGACTTCCCTAAGTTGACGGCTGTCAATATTGCACTGTTCTCCAGGTAGCTAGTGAAGTATGTCTCAACACTAGCATGATCTAAAAAGGGACACTGCCGCTGAGTGAAAAAGGCATCAAAATCCACTTTGTACATAAGTTAAAGTCCTAATTGGATTTGTACCGTCCTCCCATTTTGTTCTTGGAAGATTAAATGCTACATGTGTAAGTCTGCCTAAATAGGTAGCTTAAACTTATGTCAAAATGTCTGCAGCAGTTTGTCAATAAAGTTTAGTCCTTTTTTAATCAAAGTAAATGTGATGAATTGTCATTTTTTTTGGGTGGACAATAAAATAGTTTTCTCTTTCAAATAAACTTAAATTAATTCTAAAGTTAATGGGCTTGTTAAAAATCGGAGGCATCTTAAAAGCGGTGGTGGGGGTTTTTATTTTTTTAAGTTTACAAAACAAAAAAGTTTATGGAATTGTTAAGTTTTAGTTTAAAAATAGCCAAAGCTTTTTCACCCCCTGGAAGTTGTTGAGAACAATTTTACCCAATCCTGTTATAGGCCTTGATTTCTGGAGAGAACCCAGCTGAGCCAAGCTTGGCTTGGTTTCCCTGCACACGGCTCAGTATTTAAAATGCTGGGCCCCTACCTTAGACCATCTGTGGAGGCCCTAATGAGTGATGCCCACTAACTCTTGAGAGCTTGGAAAGGAGTGGGTGACACCTGCCCTTAGATAGGATAATTTGGCAAACCCCAGGTGCGACTAAGCATTTCCTATCCAGTCCCAGAAGTGCCACTAATAACTCCACTGGACGGGGGCATGATAGGCTGCTTTTGCTACCCTCCTAACAGGCAAAGAGAGGATATGCTGGAACAGGCTGGCTCTGTTTCTGCTCGATGTTAATTCTCCAGGTTTCATGCCTTCGAAACGAGAGCCGCCTAAACTGCTCGGGGGTGAAAAATCCTCTTGTATGAAATGCCGAGCTGCCTGCAGCAGTGCATGATGGACATTTTTTTCCTTTTCTTTTTAAAACACACCAACAAAACATTGTATTTGTAGATTGTGATAAAGTGTAAATAACTGAATTTTCAACCGTGGTTTGAAGTCAGCTTTCAGGGCATTATGTCTTGTTTTGATGAAAAGAGATCACTCTATACCCCCCTTTTTAAAGGAAAATTATCGCAAGAGAATCAGGATGTGTAAAGCTAACATGCATCGCAAAAAGCCAAAGGTAACCTAAATGTCTGATTTTAATAGCACATATTTCTCTTTTACATAAACTGTGACAGCAACTTGCATAAACAATTCTTTAGCTGTTAATTTTAATGTTAAAACTTTGCAAAACATGTTTAATAAAAATAGCCGTAAAAAGAAAAAAACATGCTGCCGCATAAATTAGCCATAACTCTTAATAATCCTGCCCATCACAAGTGAAACTGTAATGTAACCTGGGCACAAAGTCTTGACATCTTAAATGCCACATTGTAAAATTTCAATGACTGTAGACTAGACTTCCTGCTGCTCCCCAAAGTAAAGCTTTCTGCTCAGCTATTTTAAAATGTATGAGGATGAGCCCCTATAGGTCCCCGTATTGATAGTCACAATGAAATGTTACTTAAAATTCCTTTAAAGTTGCATGTTTCTTTCCTGTAATGTGTAAACTGCATGCAGGATCTCTATCTTTTATTTTATATGTCTTTAAAACTTCCTCTTCAAAAGAGTAATTGCTGATGTCTCCATTTGCAGGTGATTGAAAGCTCCTGAAGCATTTTCTGGCCTGGATGGGTAGTGAAGACCCTTTTCAGGTATGTCAAGGTAGCTTTCTACCACTGATGTGTGGGACTTTACCCTAACTGTAAAGCAGTTAGTACCAGGAGGTGATCAGTGGACTAGTCTCTCGGTCATTCATATCATATTTACAACCCAACTTCACTTCTGGTTTGGTTCATACAGTCCATATTAAGCTTACTTCTCATGGTTGATAAATCCAGGGAATGTCTACTTAGCATCTATTGATTTCCATTCTTATTTAACCTGTCAGTAACTTGTTGAGGGCACTATTTTATTTATTGGCTTTAAACAACAAAGTGGTTAACTCATAGACCCTTAACCATGGCTGTTGCAAGTGCAAAATGGTATGAAAAACTGCGGGTTAGAGGTGGTTGGGAATTGTCAAAAAAACTAAAAACAACTAACATGACAGTTCCACTTCTAGGTCTAAACCTGAAAGACTCAGATTTGTATATCAGTGTTCATTCATAACACTATTCACAGCTGGAAAGTGGTAAGAACCTGGGGGGTGGTACGTACAATGGAATACTAATCGGCCAGTAAGAGAAATGAACTCTTCATACAGTGTACAGTATGGATGAGGGCTCAGGACAGTATACAATAAGCCAATCATGGCATATTTTTTTAGTGGTTACCAGGAGGGTGTGGGAAGATTAGCAGTGATTGAAAAAAATCACATTAAAGGTAGGGCTGTTCATTCCGCTTATTGAAATTACTCTTAGTAAATTGTACACCAGTTGAAAATAAGACTGTGATATGTTTATACCAATGATAACAGCAAAATGAAGCTGCTATGACTGCTTATTTTACAGCCAAGACCCTCATGGAATTTGGTACCTTGCTTTGGAAGTTGAGAATCATAGTTTGATTGGATAACCCAGTTAATGAACCAACGTGTTTGATGCTTCTGTTCTACTTCCTGGTTCATTGTGTAGGACATGGGTCTTCATAATAATTGGTATCTATTCACCGAAAAGAACAAAGGAAGAATGAGAGTCGGCAATAGAATACGAGATATGTGACGAGATAGCTCCGTGAACAACTGATCAAAAGGGAAAGAAATATAGACCAGACTTTTTCCGTTCTCTGGAGCTAGGGAGAGGGATGTATAAACCCTCCTGAGAACTCAGGCTCAGGAAAAGAGTTGAATCGTTTTTCCTGAGATCATCTTTAAACCTTTTAAACTAAAAATAACCCCTAAAGCCATCTTAAAACTGAGCAATAGTTTAACGTGTAAAAATGAGCCTACTTTTAGCATTGGGCATTTTTTTAAACTACAGTGAACCCTCGCCACTTCGCGCTTCGACTTCCGCGGCTTCACTCTATCGCGGTTTTTGCGTACAGCGCATGCTCTGTCATTACTGCCACTGATTGACTCATACTGTACACGCTTGATGCCATAAATAATATAATAAATAATAAATGATAATTGTAACGTCCAAAATGTTTTACTGTATTTTCCCTTTTTCGTTTAATAAATTGGGTAATACGAGTGTAATGGTGACTAAAGGGTGTTTTTTCATGTCCTCTATGCTCTAACTACGAAAATATTTGATTTACAAATAAGGAATCCTACTTCGCGGAATGTCATTTATCACGGTAGGGTCTAGAACCGATTAACCGCGATAAACGAGGGTTCACTGTATATGGAATCAAAACTATATAGGAACCATAGGAGGCATTGAGCTTACGTTAGTAAGGGTAAGAATGGTTGCACAACTAGAACATAATCAGGGCCAATACATTGTACATGTAGAAACTTGAATTAGTGTGTATTCTCAAGAGGAGGCTTTCTGTGTGTCAGCTTTGGAAGAAAGACTTTGTCTCTTGAACTTTGCCACCTGGTTGATCATATGGCATGGCCTCTCCCTATCTCCTTACATGCTTGACTGCTCTCTTAACATCAAGAGATTGACACTGTACACTAATCCTGCCAAATAAATTAATAAATACAATCACTTCCAAATGGGATTATAGTCTGGTTAGTGACTTGCAATAAGTCACTTTCCTTCCTACGAGCTCTGGTGGTGGTGCGGTTGGTTACGTGTCGGTCTGTGATCCGCGTGGTCTGCACGTTGAAAGCACCAGCAGCTCCTTGGGAGAAGGACTGGACTCGTAAACTCCTGTAAACAGCATCTCGGGGACCCACAGGCCATCACTGAGAGTCAGCATTGACTGATGGCAGTGAGTTCTGAACACTTATCTTCCTGAGTCTTTTATTTTCATAACTGGAAGGTGGTGGTGGTGATAATGTACACCTCATATTGGTTGACTAACTGGAGGATAAATCCTAAATATAGCTTTAGGATTTCAGGTCACATGCACAGCTTATTGCTAACAAAAAGTACATAAGCGTGTCGAGTCACTGCATGACTGCAAACAGATTCAGTAATATGCTTGTTTTCATCTTTTTAGGTGCCTTCAAAAGAAAAGGTTATTTTTTGAGCTCTGGAAAAAAATATATTGAGGTCAGGGCTAACATCAAGTTTTTAACAAAAGTCATCGATTTTCCCAAATCGTTGAAGCTATAGCAAGTTTATAGAATGTTGCCCACATAACACTTTTCAGATGGATCAAGTGTTAAAGGATCAGGAAGACTTCAAAGATCAGTCAAGAGAGGAAAGATTGTCAGCCTCAATGAGTGAAGTAAGTCCAGAAATTGGTGGCGCAACTCTGGAATTAGCCTTGATTTAATAGCTACTGGAGTTGGAAACACATGATTTGCATTTTTCAATTTTGACATCCGAGTTTTCAGCACAATGAATATCAAAAGCATTGCTCAAAGATCAGCTAACTCAAAAAGTTGATCTTTCCATTATCCTGGCATGTCTTGAATTTACAAATATGATCCAAAGAGCATGGCCCAGTCAATACTATGGCTTCTGCAATCTGCTGGGCCAGTGAAATTCAAGGCAGGTCAGTCAGCTCAGAAGGGGATGGGAACTTTTTGGTAATTCTGAAAGGGTAAGTCTGGATAGATTTTCCCCTCTGTGGGCTTATAGTAAATCATTTTAAGAAAATTGGAAAATAGCAATCCAGTTGCACTGAAGATTCCCCCGCCCCCCGCATCACAACCATGCATCTGCTGAGTCTTCAAGAGCAGTAAAGTCTGTCCTAGGAGAACTTCATTGGGAAACCCAATAATCTACTTGCTGATCGTGCCCCTTCACCTTTCTTCCCCAAACTCTTCAGGCAGTGGAAGGGAGACAATTGGAGTCCCTCAATTCCACTTGGTATAAATCAATGCACAGGACGTTTGGGGAAATTTGGAGAAATGGAGGGTCTGTCAAGAAAGAGTAGCTTCGCAATTGGTTATTTTTGTTTAATAAAGCTTGCTGTGGTTTTATCTAATATTTTTTTCTTTATAGAAGAACGCTGGTGGCCTTCTCATGTAAGCATTGGATTATTGACCATGAGACGGGTTCAAACTCAACAGCCACTCCCAGGGAGAAAGAGGAGCCTAACTAGCCCCTAAAAGATAGACAGCTTTAGAAAGTACGTATCTACTCGAGTATAAGCCAACCCAAATATCAACAGACACACCTAATTCTACCACAAAAACCGCATTTAAAAACGTGCTGAAAAACTCAGCTTATACACAAGTATATACGGTAGAGTCACTGAGTCAGAATTTACTCAGCATCAGGCAGTGGAGTGCATCTGTATGTGTGTAGGTCCGTCCTCATACACAGTCAATGCTAGTGTCTTCTGTTGTTAGGTGCCATTGAGGCGGTTCCAACCCCTCGCAGCCCTGTGCACACGGGTGTGAAACCACAGCCCGCATCATGATCACAGCCGTTTCTGTGCTCGAGCCCATTGTTGTAGCCGTTGGGTCACTTCATCTCATCGAGGGCCTTCCTCTTTTCCACTGCCTCTCTGTCCCTAACCGCGATGTGTCCTCCAGGGACTGGTCTCTTGACAACATGTCTAGAGAATGTTAGGTGAAGTCTTGCTATTCTGCACTCTAAGGAGCGCTCTGGCCATTGTTCTTCCAATACAGATTGGTTTGTCTTTTTAGCTGTTCCTGGTACTTCTCCAGTACCAGAATGCGGATGCATCGTTCCTTGTTCAACATCCAACTTCACGTGCACGAAGCCATTGAAATGAGAATGTCTTGGGTCAGGCCTACCTTAATCCTCAAAGGCCATGCAGCATATTGACCTAATGCAATGCATCTTTTGATCTCCTAACAGCTGCTTCCTTAAGCATTGATTATGGATCTAATCAAAGCAAAATCATGATATTACTTAGTGGGCCAATTGTGAAGATTTTGGAGTATTTTACATTGAATAGTAGTAATCTATACTGAAGGCTACAAATCTTCATTGGCAGGTGCTTCATTCAAGTCCTGGTTTTCAGCAAGCAAGGTTGTGCTGTCTGCATATCACAGGTTGTTAATAAGCCTTCTATCCTGATGCTGCATTTTTCATATAATCCAGCTTCTCGTCTGCTTAGCATACAGATTAAGTATGGTGAGAGGATACAACCCAGATGTACACCTTTCCTGATTTTGTGGTTAGCAGCCCAACATATAACCACTATGTCACCGGGGCTCCATACATTTCCTGATTTTAAACCCTGTGGTTTAAACAGAACCTTGTTCTGTTCTGAGAGCTGCCTCTTAATTCATGCACAAATTTGCATGAGCTTAAAGTGTTCTGGAATTAGCTATCTCAAGGCTATCCATAGTTTGCCTTTGCATAGTCCATAAAACACAAGTAAACATCTTTTTGGTGTTCTCTGCTTTGAGTTAAGATCCATCTGACCTCAGCAACAATAGCCCTTGTTCCACGTCCTTTTATGAATCCAGCCAGAACCTCTGGCAGTTCGCTGTCAGTGTACTGCTGCAATTGCTGCTGGATGGTCTTAAAGCAAAATGTTATTTGCATTGGATACCAGTGACATTGCTCTATAATTTGGGCGTTTTGTTGGGTCACTTTTCTCTTTGGACTGGGTACAAACATGGATCTCTTCCAGTCAGTTGGCCAAGTAGCTGTCTCCCACATTTCCTGGCATAGACGGTGAGTGCTTCCAGTGCTTCATCCGCTTGTTGAAACGTTTCAATTGGTGTTCCATTAATTCCTGGCTAATGTTTTCGGTGCCCTTTGAACTTCTTTAGCACATTGGTTCAAGCCTCCATGTTGTTCGAAGCCATTAAGGAAATAGCTGATGGATATGTCTTGTTAGGGTTAGTGGGGCACTGAGGAGAAGAGATCCATCTGGATAGGGAAGAGGTACATAAAGCCTTTATGGGGAGATCGTTTAAAGTTTGCCTCTCAGCTGTGAGCCTCTCAGATCTGGATGATCTTGAGACATTAGGCAGTGCAATCCTGGCTATGGTTCTAGGAACCCAGGAAGTCATAAAGTTGGATCTTGGCCACGTGAATGGCTTGAAATTTTAGAGTTAAGTTTCTGTACGCAGAAAATTTAGTCTCAGTTCTTCCTAAGATAGTCTTAAGAACAAAGACGTTTGGGGAGACAATTTTGCATTTGGTTTATGATTTTTTTAGTAGAAAGGTCTCTGCATTTATAGACCCAGGCCTGCCAGTGGTCTCCCTTCCCTGGATATTTTCTTAGTTGATTGAGGTGTTCTCTATAGCTATTACTACCTGTAATTTTTTCATTATATCTCTTGTAAGCTGTAGAGCAGTGGCTCTCAACCTTCCTAAAGCCATGACCCTTTAATACAGTTCCTCATGTTGTGGTGACCCCCAACCATAAAATTATATTTGTTGTAACTTCATAACTGTAATTTTGCTACTGTTATGAATTGGGCGATCCCTGTGAAAGGGGCCGCAACCCACAGGTTGCGACCATGCTTTAGAGCCAAGCAAGATGTGAGCATCATTCCTAGCTCTGCTTCATCTTAGCCTTTGTTTCCTTAGACAAAATTAGCCCCTTATATTTTGCTGCTTTTGTCATCAAATGAAGTTGATCGGGTGAAACCCACCCACTGCCATCCACTTAATTCAGACTCATAGTGATTCTTCAGGGCAGAGTAGAACTACTCCCCAGGATTTCTGAGGCTGTAAATCTTTACAGGAACAAACAGACTTCATCCTTCTCCTTCAAAGCAACTGATGGGTTTGAACCACTTAATTTGAGCTATGTACCCCAACCCATTATACTACCAGGGCCCCAAAGGTGATAGTAACTGCTAACATTTATCTTTATGTGACAGGTAATCAAATCACTTGATAAGGATTACCTCAGCTTCTACTGTTTTAAAAATTAAGGCTAGATTTTTTTTAATCATTTAAGCCATCTTAAAGTACATATAATTCAGTGGGTTTTGCAATGACCATCTCCCTCCCTGCCATGCAGTCAATTCTGACCCATAGCATCCTTATAGGACGGGATTCTGAAGTTATGCATCTTCACCTGAGCAGAAAGCCTCATCTTTCTCCCACAGAGCATCTGGTGTTTTCCAGCTGTCGACCTAGCAGTTAGCAACTCAGTGGGTAATAGGGTACATCACCAAGGCTTTTGTGCAGTTGTAACCTCTGTATAATTCTAGACCATTTCCAGCATGAAGCCCTGTAAGTCTTAATAGTCACCTCCAAATGGACCCTTGCATACTTGTCTACCTCCTGTTTCAATGGATATGCATATTCTGTTTCAGGAGAAACAAAAAGAGGGATTTTTTTTGTGACTATAAAATTTTAAAAATACCGTTTTAGTCTCTGTGTAGCCCATAGCCCTCCAGTTTATAGCCTCTGATTGGCTGCTATTAATGTAAATTAAGGGCATTTAAATATTTTTTTATAATCCTAAGACATTCTTTTTTAAAACTAAATCGTTATGAGCAGACAGGCTCATCTTTCTCCCTTGGAGCAACTAGTGGGTTTGAATTGCCAGCCTTGACTTTTAACAACCTATTGCTTAACCCACAGTGCCACGAGTGCTGCTTCTCTCAGCCTTGTGCTACCACTAATCTACTTGTGTGTTTCTGTAAATTTGCCTATTTTAGATGTTACATCAAAGTAGAATCTATGAGAAAATAACAATTTATAAACTATCAAGGGCTTATGAGAGAGGGGGGAGCGGGGAGGGAGGGGGAAAATGAGGACCTAATACCGGGGGTTTAAGTGGAGAGGAAATGTTTTGAGAATGATGAGGGCAATGAATGTACAAATGCGCTTTACACAATTGATGTGTGTATGGATTGTGATAAGAGTTGTATGAGCCCCTAATAAAATGATTTAAAAAATAAATAAACTACTTTGAACTATTAAAAAAAAAGTAGAATCTATGGTTTTTTGAGAATAGCTGTTTTTGTGTGGCATGTTTTTAAGGTTCATCCATGTTGTATATTCTGTCAGTATTTCATTCCTCTCTTTACGGAACAGTATTTCATTGTATTGCTCTACCAGATTACAGATCTATCCGTCTTTAGGTAGGCATTTAGATTCTTTGCACTTTGGGATTATCATGAATGGTGCTGCTATGAAGATTAATTACAAGTCCTGTGGATGTTTTGTTTCATTTCCTAGGGTATATCCCTATGAAAAAGACTTTGTAGGTCGCAGGCTAACTTTTTGAGGCACTACCAAACTTATTCATAGTAACTACTATTTTACATGTTATGCATTAAGAGTTCCAATTTTTCCGTATCATTTATATTTTATTTTTTGTAGTCATAGTGGGTGTGGTGTAAAACTGAATTTTATTCACCTTTCACTAATGACTATTGTTGAACATCTTTTCAAATGCTTATTGGCCATTTGTAAGAGCTTTGGTGGTTCAGCAATTAAGCACCCAGCTGTTAGCCCAGAGGTCCATGGTTTGAACCCATAAGCCACTCATCAGGAAAGATATTTGCAGTCTGCTTCCATAAAGACTTATAACCCTAATATAAACCCTATAGGGACGTTCTGCTTCATAATCTCCCATACAGTCTCTCTGAGTTAGCATCGACTTGCTAGCAATAGATTATTATTGGCCCTTATATATCTTTGCAGAAATGTCTATTCAAATCATCTCCCCAGTTTACAATTTGATATTTGTTGTTGAGTTTTTAAGAGTTGGTCGTGTATTCTGGATAACAGACCCTTATAGACATGATTACAATCCCCCCCCCCCCTATACTCTGGGTTGTCTTTTCACTTGATAGTGTCCTTTGTACAAAAATTTTGATTAATAATGAAGTCTAATTTATCTCTTTATTTTACTTGCACTTGTAATGACACATCTAGGCTTTAGATTAGTTTTGCAGTCTGTGGTGTTTGGTAGGATACGTGCATATATCTATACCATTTTCCTAGCACCATGTTGAAAAGTCTATTTTACATTAAATCATTTCGGCTCCCTTGTTGAAAGCAATTGACAATTCATATAAGTCTATTATCTTTTAAGCATTCAACTGCTGACCCAAAGATCAGTGGTTTGAATACACCACTGCATCAAGGGAGAAATGTGGCAATAAAGATTTACAGCTTTGAAAACCCTCTGGGATAGCTTTACTTGGTACTCTATCCTATTAGAGTGTCAGTCAGAATCGACAGCAATGTATTAGTTGAATATTATGTTTTCTCTTTTGAAATGTTCCTATTAGCATGTCTCAGAAATGGTGCTTAGAACACACTTGAATTTCAAGACAGATTTGTTATATGATTGAATAAAGAGTTGAATTTGAAATGTGTTCGTTTACAAACAATTTTTTTAAGGTCATAGAATTCTTAATTTATATTTTTCAGATGATTACAGCACCTTATATTTTCTTTTTAAAAACCATTTTATTTATTGGGGGCTCGTAAACGCTTCTTATAATCCATACATACATCCATTGTGTCCATCATATTTGCACTTTTTTTTTTAGTTCGTTATTTTTTAATCCTTTTATTAGGGCCTTGTACAACTTTTGTTTCTTTGTTTGGCATGTTGTCTTTTTTTAAATCATTAGGGGCTCATACAACTCTTATCACAATTCATACATACATCAATTGTGTAAAGCACATTTGCATATTCATTGCCCCATATTTGCACATTTGTTGCCATCGTCATTCTCAAAACATTTGCTTTCTACTTGAGCTCTTGGTATCAGCTTCTCATTTTTTCCCCTCGCTCCAGTTCCTCATTTTTTCCCCTCGCTCCCTGCTCCCTCAATAACCCTTAGTAATTTATAGGTTACTATTTTGTCATATCTTACACTGTCCGACATCTCCCTTCACCTACTTTTATGTTGTCCATCCCCCAGAGAAGAGGTTATATATAGATCCTTACAATCAGTTCCCTCTTTTTTACGCCACCCTCCCGGTATCGCCACTCACCACTGGTCCTGAAGGGCTTATCTACCCTGGATTCCCTTTGTCTCCAGTTCCTATCTGTACCAGGGTAGTGAATATTATATTTTGAAGTTTTAAGTGCTTAGCTACTATCTAAAAGATTGAAAAGAGCCTTGTTGATCTGCATCCCAAAGGTCACAAAACATGAAAAACTTGAAATCACTGCCATCAAGTGGATTTCAATTCATAGACCTATAGGACAGAATAGAACTGCCCCGTGGGTTTCCGAGACTGACTCTGCGAGAGTAGAAGCTTCATCTTTCTCTCCCACTGACTGGTGCTTTTGAACTCCTGACCTTGCCATGAGTTGGAATCTACATAATTCGGAATCTACTCAAAAGTAGTGAGTTTGGGTTTTGATATCTTCATAAATTAAGAAGCTGATACTAGGGCAGAGAAAGGGATTCATCGAGGTTGCACAGAAGGTCTGCAGAAAGGTGTTTATGAAACTTGGGTTCTCAAGCCCAGTCTACAATGAAAGCATGCAGCACTTCAATTCCAAAGGCCATTGATTATAAAAATGCATCATTATTTTTTTTAAGTATTTAAAAATACATATATACTTAAAATAATAATTTATACATTTTCAGGGGAAGGGGGAAGCAGGGAGGGAGGGGAAAATGAGCTGATACCAAGGGCTCAAGTGGAAAGCGGATGTTGTGAGAATGATGAAGTCAACATATGTACTAATGTGCTGGACACAGATGACATGTACAGATCGTGATGAGTTGTATGAGCCCCTAATAAAATGAGTATTTAATAATAAATATATATACTAAGTTAAAAAGTGGTTTCTTGTCACATCCATTGTAAGACACAACCTGATTTTAAAGATGTTGAAATCGGAATCTTATTTTACCTGTGTTAATTTTAATGTCTGTTGGGGAGCCCTGGTGTAGTGGTTATAAATTGGGCTGAAATCTGCATGATTAGTGGTTCAATAGCACCAGCAGCTCCTCTGGAGAAAGATTGTGCATTCTACTTCCACAAACAGTCTCAAACCAACAGAGGATTCATTGTGAGTCAACATAGGGGCAGTAGGTTTGGGGTTTTTTTTGAATGTGTATCGAATATTTACTGTCTGCCTTGCCTAATTCTCGCCATCCATGAAGTAGGTATGAAACCGAGTGCCAGAAAAATCAAATAACTTACTTAAAGCAATATAGCAGTTAAAAGAGCCCCCCCCCCCCAGTCTCTCCCTTTTACCCATACTGTGCATTTGGAGACCATTGATAATCTCTATTGTTAAAAGCTGTGCTCTGGTGGTAGTGCTAATCAAGGGTTTGCTTTACTACTCTTACTTAAATGCTGATGGATGAAGACTCTGCTGCTCTTGCAACCCTTTAACTTTGTGCCCAGCTCTGCTGAGAGTACTCCTGTAAATGGGTTATCCAGGCACTCCATTTAATCTGCATAGATGGCCCCGTGGGATTATCCCTAGTTTACAGAGCGGGAAAGAGGCAGATAAAGGGTTGGGACACCCACCGTGTCCTTAAGCTGGAGGTTACATACGCCCATATCATTTTGCACCCAGTTAGCTATCTCCTGGTCTCTGCTCTGCACCTAGAGTGGCCACCAGAAGATTGGCTTATCCTGAAGGTAGTTCCTGGCTTGTTTTCCAGTCCTGCGGTTTATTGATTTGAAGTCTTATAAGCCTTCGACCTTTTTCTTTGGACCTAGGTGTACCTCCTGCGTGCTAGATTAATAGCCAATGCATGTCTAACACTAGCAATCATCTGATGAATATTTAATAGTCTGGAGCTGAAAGGCTGGAGACAGCTTCTGAGGCAGCAGGTGTTGGGTGGAGATGAGGTAGTGCATCTCACTACCTTTTGTTTCCTGACCTGGAAAATAGACCTGACTTTCCAAGCCCCCTGGCTCTACACCTTCATCTTATGTGACCTGATGATGGTCCTGGCCTCTGAAGGGGGCTACTTTCAGGCAGCAAACCAAGCCTCTTTCCTGGGTAACAGGGAGCAGAAACGTTAACTGCCAGGACTCAGCATTACAAGTCTTGGGCTGGGGTCATTTACACCATAGCTTGTCCTGACCCTGGAGTGGAGACTGTGTTCTTACTTGGTGTCCAGCCAGGTGCATCTCTTAAGAAAAGTGGTAGACTTGCATTGTGGAGAGACTTGTATTCATAGTGAGGCTGCAGAGTTCAGCTTCAGCTAATTGACATTACTTGATTTCAGATGCAGCAGTCGCTTAGCAGTCAGTGTAATTCTCATTCCGGCCTGCAATGTCTTTGCCATTGTCTTTGGCTCTCAGCCAAGAGAATGAGCAGGAAAGAGTGATCAGACAGGTGGACCGCCTAACACTGCGCTCCCCTTCACCTAAACTTAGGAGGCCTGCTCACTTTCAGACAAATGTGGGCACTTGCAGCCACTCCAAACAAAGGCAGCTCATTTGAGATCTTTGCAGGTAGAGTATAAGACAGGGCCCGGCTATCAGCCCAGGTTAATTGGCTACTAAGTTGGCCACCATGCCAGCTATTTGGGTGAGTGCTATTCTGGGCTTGATGGACTCCATTAAGATTCCTGAGGTGGCTGTTTCCTTGTCATCCTGTGGAGCTGGTCTCGGTCCACCTCCAAATAGTCCCTTTCTTCCAGGCCACCTGAGGCATGTCAGAACTTGAGATCCTCAAGCTTGAATTCAGACACAGGGCTAATTCTCTGGGATTTCAGAACCCAGCCTTCATGCTTTCTGTTAACCTTCCTCTGGACCTGTGCCTGGGGAAGGAAAAGGTTAAGTGCTCCCCGCCTCGCTGCCTTTCTGGGGTTGAAATATAGGAAACAAATTTTGCACCTGCCTTTAAGAAAGAAATGTCATATGCTCAGATAAGACCCTTTATACGCTTCCCTACAGAGATCAGGACGAATGGCTCCTTTCAGTGTAGAAGTGATGCTAAGCACCAGCAATCCCAGGAGAAAATGTTCCATGACTTCATGGTACGAAATCTCTTAAATAAATGCAATTGTGTTGAGTGCTGTGGAGACAAGAGCTGGGTATTGTAGCCTCCAACAGGGACCAAGCTAGCCAGGTTTGCCTTGAGCTAATGGGGCTAAACTGGCAGTTGTAGGAAATTAGGTAGAAGGCTAGAAGGAAGGGTGTGGAACGCGTTCTCTGAAGGAGTGAGGAAGGGCTGAGGCAAGCTCGGTAGCTGGTGAGGAGGTCTGCCCCTTACTCTGAAGGCTACTGAATTGACAATGACATTAGATTTCTAATTTTAATACTCTACCTGCTGCTGCATGGAGAATGGATTTTGTGGCTCAGGAAGCTTTGCATTAGTGTAAGCAAGAAAAGAAGAGCATCTGTAGTCAGGTAACACCTGCGAAAATGTAGAGCCATGAATGGATTTCAGGACCATACAAGATTTGGAATGAGCCTTATTGGGTGCCTGGATTGATTAGCTGTGGGAGAAGGTAAGGTGGGTTTGGGGTGTCTGCTCCGGACCCCCCCCCCCCCTCGTTCTCAGCAATATGGTGTTTTGTTTATTTGTTTTGGCTCTTCTGGTACCTGCTGTTTCCATCAACACCTCATGATCACACAAGCTGGTGTGTGACAGGTTTTGATGGGAAGTCGTGCTCCAGGTTTAGACGGTGTGTCCCCTTTGGACCACCCTTAGTGTTTGGAGCAGTAATAAGTTCTGCGTAAGGACAGATCCCTCCATTCTAGAATCCAGGAAATAGATAATACTGATGATACAAAGAACTTTAATTTAAAGCTCTGGGTTGATTTTTCTTTTCCCCCCCTTTTTTTCACATTGCGAGAGGGCAGGAAGCTTTATCCCCATTTGAATACCTGAAAGTACTAAAACCCTCAAAGATTCAGGGAGTTCTTCCCAGTGCAGGCCTGGGCAAGGCAGATAAGAACACAAAGCACCATCTTCACTGCCAGACCGAGGCAGCAGGAGAGTCGACAGGCTGTTTTTAACCTGTGGACCTAGAGACCTGTGTTCTGAAAAGAACAAGTGCTATGGGAAGAGAAGATTATAAGGGAGGCACTTGGGCAGGGATAGGAGGCTGAGACGCCCCCATGTTACAGCCACTTTGTGTATCTTAATGTATTGCCTTATGTCTTTTGCAGGCATCAGAGGACTCTGGAAGCCAGGAGAGCTACCTGCTGTGTCAAGGCTGGCCTAAGGCATTTGCTGGACACAGAGAGGACATCGACAGTCTTGCTCCTACCCCACCCTTTGACCTGACTTACCGAGAGTCAGCCAGGATCCCTTAGGAGCCTCTAGGCACAGAATGGAGTACTTAGGGATACAGGGGACTGTGTGTTGCTGTTAAACCTGTTCAGGACTTTAAAAAGTTAAAAGGGACTGGCAGAATCCCCAGCTCTGCCTCTAGAGCTAGGCGGAGTAATCAGCAGCTCCTAGTGTGTTCTCACCCTGCCTCCCCCACCGTCCTCAGTCTTCAGAGCTGGCAGGTGAGCCCCTGCCGCCGCCTCCTTTGCCCCCGACCTGCTGTAGTTGTGTTGTGGCTTCCAGGGTGCGAGCCCACAGTTGCTTCCAGGGAGAGTTCCCCCTGACCACTCACACGTGTACACCTATAACACAAGGAAAGCCAAATGAGAAGGTTAATTTATTTGTGGGAAATTAACCTCTGAACCCACGTTTCTCTTCATTATTGCATACCAGGCTTGTGCAAAAAGCTCTGGAAAGGTCGGGCTTTGCCGACCTACTTGTTCTCTGTGCCATACCACATCCCCTCCCCTTAAGTTGCTGGCCCTGAGGAACTCAATAAAGGTTTGGTCAAGTGAAGAATCATCCCACTCTGCTAGCTTCTCTCCAATTTGGGAGGCCTCCAAGCGCCCCTCACCCAGCTTTCACTGCCCCCCAGCTGTATGCAGTCCTAACAGTTTGTCTTAACATTCTGGAAAGTCAGTCTTTGCTAGGCTTTTGATTTCCTACGGCCTACACCAGACCGATTTTATTTTATATTTTTAGTGAATCATTTTATTGGGGGCTCTTAAAACTCC